TATTTAATCGTCACCGTGACTGGGATTCACTCTCTCAGTTTCTATGCAGACATTTTCTAGCTGAAACAGTTTGCAAGTTAATCACTTAAATGGCTTTGTAGAAACAAACATGCCTCACATGGCTCAGTGTTTTCTGCTTTATTGTGTTGCAGCGATGCAACTTACCAATCATGAACAGGAAGTAATAGATGATGATGGAATCGGGGCGAGAATACAATCCTCCAACCACCTTCATCTGGTTAACAGCTCAGACAGTGGACATGCAGTGTTTCCTTTCCCCCTCCAGATGTTTTGGTGTTTAGTTTACAACATGTTTGGGTCATTAATGAAGCTCAAACCTTGAAGTCACCTCGTTATGTTTTCATAGGAACGTCATGAGCTGACTCCTTACTGACCACAAAACAATTCACAACAGTAACATGAAACACAACTGGCATGTGAGATCATGTGGTCAAAACAACCAGATTAACAAGGCAGGTTATATATTGATATGAATACATTCATAACACAGAGCTCCATTTACCACTGAATAACTTCAAACGGACTTCAGGGAAACACAATTAACACACTGACGCCAAAGAGATTGTTACACCACGTTTCAACTTAATTAGCAAGCAATGCAGAAGGATTTCAAAAACATCTTGACTTTGTATTTGTGCCTTTTGAAATGTTAAGGATTGTCCCCGATAAATAAACGTTTATTTTACCTCTTTGTTCATCTCTTATCCCCCCCCCCTCGCTCTCTGAGTCTGAGAACCTCTAATAGTTGTTTGTTTGTTGACCTCTGGCGATTTGAATCCTGCTGAGGTGTGTGTGCATACTCCCTCAGCGTTTATCAGTCATTACTTACATACAGCCTTCAAGGCCTGTAATTAACTACAGCTTTGATTCCCCCCCACCTGCTCATTTCCTGCACACACACACACACACACACACACACACACACACACACACACACACACACACACACACACACACACACACACACACACAGAATCTCTCTGTTGTTCTTGCAATGAGATAAAGCCACACCAAAAAAATGCCCGCTCACAGATCCGCATACATTCTTCATCCCTCAGTCACTGTGAGACTAATTGTGTTTTAGTGAAAACAGGAAAATACACTTAACATCTCGAAGACCAATATCTGCCTGGGGCTGCTTATGTATATGTATATGTATATGTATATGTGTGTGTGTGTGTGTGTGTGTGTGTGTGTGTGTGCCTAATGCAATGTTCTACAACTGTTTTTGTGACACCAATACAACTCACAGATCTCTCACTGATATCACATCAATAAACGATGTGCAAAAGACATTCTGACGCTGAGGTTGATTAGTGTCGGCCACACAACAAGCAGATGTAGCCATGACACATGTTCAATACCCCAAAAACATGATCATACTCTGCACAACATGGTCTCCGTCTCGTTCCACACTTCCCTCTGTTTACCCCAAGCACAAAGAAAAAGAATGGTATTCAGTGGACGCTCAAACACTTTTAATTTATTATTGACTCCTGTTGTTATAACTTGATCCTCCTGTGTGAGAGGGTGGATATCTTCTTTGAGATATTGAATAAATGTCAAGTTATGATGTTAGGGCTTGTAGCCAGCAGTCATAAAACAGTGTGTGTGTGAGTGTGTGTGGTATTTCAGTCTGGACCAACAGATCAGCATTGCCCTCCCTAGAGTCTTGATGTTAGATTGGCTGGAAATTTTTACGTTATAATCGGATCGACTGAGCAACTCAACAATCAAACCACAGCTTGTGTTTTTATCAGTGAACAAAAGGCATGTGCATGTTAATAATGTGGGAGCTACTTTTACAAACCATAACAAAGAGCATTATTATTGAGAACTTCAGTCTAAACACAATAGCCAATACTAGGAGTGTTTGAACAATTTTTGCTCTCATTCAATTCATATTGTAGACTTGAGACACACAGATTGGTAACGTCATAAAAAATTATAGATGCAAACCCAAGTCTGCTGACTGATACGTGTTCATGTTGCCTCACACTCTAGTTTGAAATGATTGGCAGTGTGTGAAGGGAGCAGCTGGAGGAATAAACTCAAAGTACACTGTATAAACAATACTGCCCTGCTGTTACTTCATGTAGCAGCAATTATCCACATTTACATCCCTGCAGGGCATTTGTTAGCTATTCTTTAGCCAGTCAAAATTACTGAGCTTACGTGTCCGTGATTGAGAGGAAACGCATTCAAAAGTCTTCTACTGCTGTCCACACAGCGGCTGAGGGGGAAGCATCTGTCTCAGTGGGCAGTTGAGGATAAATAATGAATAACTTTGTTACCAGAGGATGAAGTTGATGTTCTTCAGAGCTACATGTAAATACAAAACTGTACTTTGGTAGCTGAAACATGTTTCTTGCCCAGTGACACAGCGATGTAATAGAAACCCAGTGACGGGATCCGTCCTCGTACAGCTCGGCCGGAGCGTCAGGACATTACAGCTCTGGATACTGTGTGCAGTGTGCCAAAAAATGAGAGAAGTGTGTCGATGTGCGCTTGTTTTTTCTATTTACCCAGAACACAATCCGCTCCGACATAATGTATATATTAACGCCCGACAGAACACATGCAGTAAAGAATCAATATGAGCCGTCCTCAGGCAACATACACGAAGCCAACGCACATTTGCTCTCGAGTCCTACCGCCAAGATTCAGTCCAGAAGGGAAACTATCGATCATTTTAATTTCTTCTATTTAAATTATCAAGTGCCGAATTGTTGAGCCCATTTAAAAAAATAAATAAAAATTTAGGCCCAAATCGTACATTATCTTAAACCCAGTTATAAAATATCTAGAACAATGGAATACTTGTGATTGAGAAGCTGCAACCAGAAAATGTTCAGTATATTTACTCAATAAATGACTTCCCAGCTCTCAAACACACAACTATACATATGTGTGCACACGTCACATGTACAGTTCAAGTACACACACACACACACTCTCTCTCTATCATCTCTCCTTATTGAAGTAGATCTGTCTTGCTGCTTTCTGACTGTAAGTCCATGTTTCAGTATCCTCACCTTCACGCTCATCAAACATCCATCATCTTAAACGTTCTTGTCTCAACGTAAAGATCAGAAAAACAGCTGAAAACATACTGAAGACTGTCTGATATCTGACAGTACACACCATCGGAGATTGTACTGATACAGCTTAACTTTTGAGCTCAATCACGATGATCTTTAATGCTCACAGAAGGCCCGCCACACTGCAAAGAGTACCGCCGTGTAAGAAGTGAAAGGATGCTCCTTTTCAAATGGAGTACATGGAGAAAGTACAGAGCGAGCAGTTGCTGCTGAAGTGATCATGCTCTCGAATACACTTTACCTCCATGTGGAAATCTAAATTGGACACGCGTTTCATCTTTAAATCCTCCCAGAGGTTATCTGCATTAACTGCTCTCATTAATCATCTTTCATTTGCTACAAAGGCTCTTATATACCGTGTGTAACCCACAGTAACTTACCCTTCATTCACCTTGCAGTTTCTGCACCAGAAATCAGCTGGATACTCTCTGTACAACTCCAGTCTCATTAACTTCACATACATCTATTTAGCTTGATGGAGTTGGTTTGGCTACAGTAGAGAAAGCAGCAGTGCTGCTATTAAGCATCCAGATGGACAAAGATCACAAGCAGATGAGATGCAACGGAGGACGAATCTTCACATCAGGCAGAAAACGGCTCCACCGGACATCTGTGCTACATTCAGAGTCTGTACTGAGAAAGAATAGGCGATCATTTTCTATTTCATTTGATATTAAATCTAAATAGTGATGTTGTAAACTTTTATGAAAACAAATTAGCATAATGTTTATCGATAAAAATAACCACACAAGAACATCTGGGTAATCCAACAAAATAAACACCTGACGACAAATAAAGTTTCTTCATCACAATGAAGATGTGTCAAAGAAATATATGAAACTTCATATTAAAAAAATCCAATATTTCCAGAAGTCCTGGACATTGATTTGCAAAATTGTATTAAGCCCACAACGGCTTAGCCTAATACAACCAGATGTGTTCAAGTGATAACACAGTGTCATGGTGTAAATAGTATTATAAAATCTCTTACAGCAGACAAATCTACATCCTCACACAGTACATGGCACCCAGTCATGGTCACTACCTGCTGCAGGGCCACTATCAACCTATGTTAGCAATGTGCACTATGTGAGTAAAATATTACAAATATTAAAGTTCCTGAAACCAGATTTTGTCTTAAAGACAAAACATCAAACTCTGGTAATAAAGCAGCACTCAACTGAAGACCTGCATCAGCTAATAGACGGTTTCAATAAATAGATAACATCTAAAACAACGTAAGAATTAATGATACTGCTAAACTACAGCAGCCACGCAGTGAACTTGATAGTGTTAGCCTTGCACCCAGCCCTTCTACATACAGTCACTTACATTGAGAAGCATTTTCTTTCCCCAACGCATCTCCACATTAATATTAATATTCAGTTTCACCAGAGCTACTTGTTACCACGATAAGCCTGCCCACCCATGTTTGTGCAGAAGAAACTGTTCACGTCTGCAGGTTGTCATCCGCAATCATATTCACGTTTTACAGTTGGATTTATAGAATTGCAATTAGTGTGTCAGCTCTCTTGTGCCTTCCTGCCGCCTCTGAAACCATGAAAGAGCAATGGTGCCATCTAGTGACCAGTCTAACAACATGGCTGCATCTACCAATGTATAAACGACGTGTACCAATGTAGCTACAGATTCAAAAACGTATCTCCTTGAGCCTCCGCTGCTCATCCCGTACAGACTGTATCATATACAAGAGTGTGGTGCAAGCGAAAATATCAAACGACTTTATCTGACGTCACTCAGACATGAGCCACAAACACGTCCTGATTCCCCTAACTGCAGCCCACGCAGAATATTAAACTACCGCGCTTTGCTTTTTAAAAACAGGACGCTCGTGTGTCCGAGGACCGCCTGTCTCACCGTGAGAAGCAGTGGTGGCAGACATCTCTGGACAGTTTGTTGGACACGCAGCACGCCAGCGGCTCGGCGGAGTACACCAGCTCTCCTCTCTTGATCCGCACGGTCGCCCGCAGACCGTTACCTTTTCCCGGACTAACGAAACGCTCCAGCTTCGGTGGCATGGTCAGGGCTTCCCGGTTTTCCCTCCACGTGAACTGAGCAGTGTTTACATCCGCAACGTAATAGACGCACACGGTGCGTCATGGCGTCACATATACTTGCGCACCTTCGTCATTTTGATACTTGATGATACCACTTATACACTTTTACATAAGTAATGCTTTTAGGACCTTTACTTGTACTGCAGTAATTTCAGTTGGGTTGTTTCTGCTTTTACTTATACTTAATACTTCTTCCACCACTAAAGGTACAATTAATGAATGTTATTCTTCATTAAATGAAATTAGGTTATCTTACACCTTTAGTATTTAGCCATGAATATTGAATACAAACATCCTCTTCCATCTGATCTCAATGAATACTAATCACATTTCAATGTTTTCATCAAACTGATATTTGATATTACAATAAATTAATTCCCGAAGCCTCACACTTTATTTCAATGTGAACAGTATTATTTTGAAGAAAATTATTGCGATCAATATCAATACCCTAAATGGCCAAAGAATAAACGATTATAATTAGTTTTAAGTAGGTAACTGGCAACATAAAACGAAGAATGAACAAACACTTGGTTTACAGTTGATTTAATATCTAATGGTATATCTAAATGTATGTTAGCTCAGACTCATAAAGTGGGTTTATTTTCCAGCAAATGTAAACATGCATCCTGTGTCAGAGAAGACTTATTATACTATTGAGATACATGGAAATTAACAGCAGGACATTTTATTATATTCACAATATAAGTGTGTGACCACAGTCCTTGAAAGTGTTAATCTATTCATTACGTCCTCCATGTTGCTTTGGATTAGCACATTGCCTGTACATAAAAGGGATTTTTTTTTTCTCTGAAGATCAAACTTGAAAACCATGAAAGTGGTCACAGCAAATCAACTCGGCTACTGTTCGTAAGGTATGAGTCTTTTCTGCGAAATGATGTCATCCCAACTAAATGTATTGCTGCTAGTTTTCACATAAGGTTCAAAATGTCTGAATACGATACCAGTATTGTTGCAGAACAGACAGATTAGAGACTCGCAAACAACTTTTTTTCAATGGCTTTAACGGGAGACATAACAGGGAAGAAAATAAACAAAACTCATCTCCTTATTACAATCTTTAAGAACAAAGAGAAAGAGTTCATCAAACTATTCATAAAACACCTTTCTTCAGGCTCATAATAGTGGTACATAGTACTGATTCATACACAAAGAACATGACTTTATATTCATTCATTTCTGAATGTTCTTTAAAAAACAATTGGGCAAACAAATTAAAATATATCCAACGCTTACATTTAGAAAAGTCATGAATATTTTTAACTGATTATTGATTACTAAAAATTAATGAAAAATAAACAACCCAGATGTTGTTATTCAGAGGAGTTAGATTATAGAAAAGGAAATTCAATTCTCTGTCAAAACAATGATGAAACAAGATGAAAAAGCTATCCGATGTATAACGACAATAATCACAAAGCACAGAAAACAAATGCACCCTTTTGTTCTTAACCACCTGCACTAGACATCCCTCGTATTATAAATTATTAAAATCATCTAGAAGATTAAATATGAGGTTTTCTGAGTGACGGTCATCTGAACCAGCCAGACGACATGTGCAAATAAAAACAAGAATCAATCTACTACACATTGCATCCCGGGAGACCTCATATCTCAAACAAACGCTCAGGTTTTTGTTTTGTAAGTGACACACCATGAGAGAAAGTTTAAGATGAAACCATGTTGTCTATCATAAATGCATAATTAAGACACTTGAATCCCTGCTCTTTAAATTAGTTTTTTGTCTTTACATCCTGACAATTAAGAACTTTGTGAGATATGTGGTTTCATGGCATCCAAAGGAAAGATAATCAACAGGACAACAAACATTGCAACATGTTGAAATGACACAAAGTATGGATGCCTGAGGAGGCAAAAAAGTGAGTTTAAGCAGTAAAACAACCCAAGTACTTTGCTTTCAAATGACTAGAAATAAGAGTTAAAGCACTGATGTGAGAATAAAGTATTGGTTTCATGGACAAAGTGTTAGCCTCTTTCTAGGACAGTCTTTTCTCCATCTCATTAGGAAATCAGTTCTTCACCCACAAAAAGTACTTCTTTCTCCATCAAACCAGGACTCAGCAGACGTAACACATTACACACGTTTAAACAGAAATGGCAAATGAGTCTTTAAGGAGACCAGGTGGTGGCAAAGAATTTTCTTGGAAAAAACAAAAAGGGGTAAACACCGACTATCACACACTGAGGGTGACGCCCACAATCCCCAAGAACAGCAAACACACCGGCAGACAGAGCTTCAAATGATCCCATCGACATCAAGGCCCGTACTGATATAGAGCACACTGAATAATTATTGGTTCCTAAACTAATTGTACAATTCTCATGTATCTTTTTTTCACAGAAATATTCCATACTTAGCCAGACCCGCTTAAGAGTTGAGTATTTTCTGTTCCAGGTTATCTGTGCATAACTGATGTTCATTGGCATGAACTTTTCACGATGAACCTGAAAACAGTTTGTGGATATGAATATATTTAGTTTTTAATCTAATCATGTAAAGTCTACGTTTAGTCCAGAACCAACCCAACAACTCCTGTAGAAATATTGCAATATGTTTTTTTAAAAATCGTACCAGTCTTATGTGCAACATGTTAAACATTCTTCTGACAATATCTACAGAGGTGCACTGTGTTCCTGTACATTTTGCATATGCTACACAAAGCTACGTCTACCTCATTGAACACCATAAAGGGGTAGTTTGGACTTTTTAGTCTCCAGTGGCAGCCATGTCAGCTCACTGCAAAAAGTTGTACAGAAAAGGGCAGCGACAGGACACTCGTGTCAAATTCGGATAATACACAAATGCCCCACAAGTGAAGTTTAACATTATACTCCAAACATTCATTCAAAGGTTGATTAAGATATAATGAGTTCATTCCAAGTAGAAAACCACAGAATGGTATGTTCATTGTAAAATTTCATTTGTGATTTTAAAAAGTCAACAATAAAAGCAACACTAGTGGTTGCAGCAGTTTGTAAAATCCCCATTGAGCCACTACCCATGTGTGCAGTGTGTGTCGAGAGCATCTCTGTGCCCCCCCCCCCTGTTAACAAACTATACATTATACTTTTCTTTTTTTTCTTTTTTTTTTTTTTTTTTTTTACAGCCTTTATTATTTAGTTCTTATTCTTAAATTAGGGAGTCGAGTCTCGGAAAAGTCAGTGAGAGCATGTATCCAGTCACGGGGGATTCATCTGCCAGTGACTTTAGAAGCTTCACTGGCTGACGGTGAACATGTGTGCGGAGACAGCACTCAGCTAGTTCAACAGGACACTTGAGTGTCACATTGAGAATTTATAACCTATTTAATCTGGAGAGGGTAGAGCGAAGTGTGGGTCACTTCTTCCTCTGCTATTATACAGTCTCCATTCATCCTCTTTCTCTCTCTCTGTTCTACTTTCCCTTTCAAACGAGTGTTGTAAAGGACATCTGACCTATGACTTTTAGGCTCAATGAACCCTGGGATTGGATTCAAAGAGCATTAAAAATGCAGTAGAGCAGGCTTACAAATGCCAACCACATCTGATAAAACTGTTTAGCCAATTAGGCAGCATAATAGCCACTTGCTTCACATAGCGGCAGGGACTGTAGTAGCTGCCCGGCACCATTACCTCATGGAACATTGTCCCAGGAAGTAGCAGGGACTGCCGGAGCCTACAGTGATAAACAGTAAGGCCAGTGGCTCCACAATGTTGACAAACTGCATGCCGCTATGAGCCGGGAGCAAACCAATGTTGAATTTGAGTTATCCCGCTCTGTATCTGGCCAACGTAGAAGTCTGCATTTCTGGAGAAGTCCTGACAGACTGAGGAGTGGGCATCTCCCAGGGCACAGTACAGAGCGGTGCCACCGACACTGATCACTACAGTAACCAGACAAAGCAGGAAGAGAAGCAGGCAGGAGTCTCCACCGCCGACATCTACAGAGAAAGAGAGGCAGAGGGAGAGATGTAGTTGGATGGAAGTTAAAGAGCATTAGATTAATAGTGAAGACCAGAGAAATTCATCTACTATTTTTGACAATAACGTTGTTGCAAATTAGCTCACTTATAATGAGTCAATACATTAGTTCATGTTCCATGTTTATGGAGAGATACAAATCTCTGACTCGTAGGCAATAAACACACAAACACACCCTGCTCATAGCCATCATCAGGGACTTTGAAGCGGACACGTCTTTTGGCAGGGAGTTCGTCAGGTCGGGTCTCAGAGATGGCAGACACACTCATGTTGTCCACACAAACGCGCCGCTTCTTCAATATGGAGACAAGGCCAGAAGCAGGGGATATCTGACAAGCAAAAACAACAACAACAAACAAACAATGAGATGTTAGAATGCATAGACACATACATCCACATAGCAGAATCTCTTCTTCCCTCTAATTTATTCAAAAATACAGTTTGATCCGTCTTTTCATCTTCATACACAAACAATAGCAACGTAGTGTATGTGTTTTATAAAGGGTGCACTTCACCAGCCATGTCCACCAGGTGTCAGTATGTCTCGCAGTCAGCCATATTCAACTTTAAATCTCACTATCAACACTCCCTCCAACAGATTCACTGTCAGTATATATACCAGGGGTATTCAATTAAAATTCACCGAGGTCCACTTCGAGAGAATTTCCTCACGCAAAGGTCCGGAACATCACAATAATGTCTAACTTGCGCAATGATTTAGTACCATATGTATTGAAGTAGCCGAACAGTTGTATTACCGTCTGTATGTAGTCAACAACTGGCTGTAAAATAAATGATAGAAAGTGCAATTGAATAATATCTCAACAATATTTGTCAGTTTTCAAATTGAACTGGATGAATTATAATTAATAATCAAATACATGAATTTAAAGAAATTAAAATATGGACTGGATTAAAGAATAAGTTACAAAACAGAAAGCTTTTAAAAATGGTGCATCTTAAAATAAAGTACTTCACTTTAGAAAGATGAACTGAATTGACCTGCAGCTTTAAATTCAGTTCATTCAGGTGTGAAGTCGTGTCACCCAAAAAAGCCACAATATTATATTCTTATCTTCTAAAAAGAGACATTTGTGTGCAGGGACTTTATCCGTGGTTATTGAAACCACTTGTTTCAGCTCTATTCCTCTCAGTCATAAATACGTCTCTATAAGTAGTATAGCATGTCGAATAAAGTCAGAGTATATTATCTCAAAAAAGTCATAAAAACGTTATAGATAGTACATCGTAAAAAGTCATAGCAGTAAAATGCAAATTTGGTAATCTCTTCTCCCAATCAGAGCAGTGAAAGGTGTCACGCAAACAAAAAATAATTAATAGAAAGACTTATTATTATTTGTCTTAATAACTATTATCCACCAAATAATTCAGTTCAAAACCGTTTTAAAGTCTTACATCCATCAACTGACTAATTCCCAAACTCAGGTGCAGGTGAGATTTGGGTGTGTCTATAGTTACCACACAGTACACGGGATGCACTATATTAGCATTTAAATATGCATTTGCAAACATAGACAGCTTAACAATGTTAAACGGATCATTTGTGGAGTTACTTGCAACAGCTTAAACTTTTGTTGTGACTTGTTGCATGTATGATTTAAAATATCTGCAATCTGCAAAGCAATAGACACATTTGTGTAATGTGGCTTCTCCACAGGCCAGCCACCGGCCGTGGCTGGCCTGTGGAGAAGTCACACAGGAGCGTAGCGCCAGTTTCGCCAAACGGGAGAGACTTTTCATTTCATTTCACCAGGTTTTCACAGGCTTTCAGCAAAAACCTGGTGAAACGAAATTAAAAGTCTCTCCAGGGCCGTCAGCGGGGCTGTCAAGTTAGGATTGGACTATGACAAGATGGCTGGAGATCGTTGGTTCACCCAGTTATACAAGAATAGAGGCCGGTCACTTACGGGACAGCGTTTGGAGGTGGCCCCGTTTGGCGAAACTGGTGCTACGCTCCTGTGTGACTTCTCCACAGGCCAGCCACGGCCGGTTGTTCCCGACGAATGGAGACAACAGGTCTTCAACGCTATTCATGAGCTGTCGCACCCTGACAAGAGGGCGTCTCAGAAGTTGGTGGCAGCGAAGTGGTTTTACACATCTCACAATGGTAGACTGGACCCTGGACCCTGGACCTTCCTCCTGCCATGGCCCTGCTGACTCCCACTCTTAATATCTTTTTTATAATTACTCGCATTACTATTTTTATCACCAATAATGCTCATTACTAACTTTGCTTCTTCACCGGAGTCTCTGAGCTTTCTCTCCTCACAGGTTTCCATGGATCCTGTTGATACCTGGACCCTGGTCTTGCCTCCTGCCGTGGTTCTGTCATATGCACTGAATGTGTTGTAACTCTGTAAATGTTGTTCATTCTGTACACATCTGTTGCACTTCTGTCCATCCTGGGAGAGGGATCCCTCCTCTGTTGCTCTCCCTAAGGTCTCTCCCTCTTTTCTCCCTGTTGAAGGGTTTTTTGGGGGAGTTTTTCCTGTTCCGATGTGAGGGTCCTGGGACAGAGGATGTGTACAGATTGTAAAGCCCTCTGAGGCAAATTTGTGATTCGTGATTTTGGGCTATACAAAAATAAATTGAATTGAATTAAACCTGTCCCTACTGTTTTCAACAACTCCACAGAAGACACCTGGACAGCTCTGAGGCAGACTGTCAGATTTCACTCTGACGACGTAGCATGGCGCTAATTTCTTATAAAGATATTTCATTTTATTTCATTCGATTGTGGTCAGGCTTCCTGGGGGGCTCCCAACCCATCTTAGTTATGCTGGGATGTGAACTTCTGTTGACGTGAAGGTCTATCACAGGAGTATTCAATTAAAACTCCAAAAGGTGCAGATTGAGAAAATCTCCTCGTGCAAAGGTCCGGATCATTACAATAATATCTAATTTGCGCTATTTAGTGCCATGTATATAGTAACAACGTATGTGTGTAGTCAACAACTGCCAAATCAAATAAAGAAAGTACACATCACTTATATTATAACAATTATTATTCTCAGTTTTCAAATTTAACTGGATGGATTATAAATAATACATAGAAATACATAAATAAATGTTCTCTCATTTCAAGTAAAATAAGGGCTCCATCTAAAAATAAAATACACAAAAGACAACTTTTGAAAAAAATGCATCTTAAAAGAAAGTGCCTGATTTTAGAAAAATGAATGAAAATGAAAAAGGAAAGAGTTTGGCTGGAGTTAACTTATTTCTTCTGTTTTGTTTAATCCATTTCACATCATAACGGTCTCAGTCAACTTTATAATAAACTATCTCTACACATCTCAACATCTTGCCCTCAGTTCAGACTTGAGTGTTTGCTCAAAAGAGTTATGTTTGGTCTCGTGGTGGCGTTACACATCGGTGCGTTTAATATCTGATAATATTTAGTATCTGAACACATGAGGCAGAGTGGTTTAGTAGCGCCAGCAGGAAGAATGAACAAATAAGAGTCCGTCCATTCTTTGTTAAAAGCTCTGTTTTCGAGGTCCACTCGCCGTGTGAAACTGCTTCTCCCACTGCTCTCTCTCCCCGTCTCTCGACTCACGATGCATTTTGGAATACACATATTCGATTGGCTGAGTAGCATCACGTGAGATGATTTACAACTCGTGTAGCCTAATTGGTCGGTGCGTTTCCTGGACTGCTGACCGAGAGCCGTAAAGGCTAGAAAAGCTGCGCAGGTTAAAATAGAAGCGCTCCGCCAAAATGTATAATTCTCCATCAGTTATACGTCCGGGTCCGGATAGGACAGGGTCTGGGTCCGGATCGCGGTCCGCCTATTAGTGACCACTGATATATACACTCAGTATATAGTCATGCGGTATCAGGCACGGCTTCTGGATGAGAAAGGTTGCATATTAGACCTCCAACCATCATTTCACACTCAACGCAAAAGAGCTGAAAAAATATACAAACGATTGCAAATGAACTTTGCACAAAGTGTAACCTACCAAGGCCAGGCAGAGAGCTTGTCTTATTTTGCAATACTTCAGCTTAACTTCACTTAACATGTAGTCATAACGTAGTCACCCACATGCTGCCTGACACAGAAACACTATCAACCAATTCTGTCCAAAATCAAGTCATCTGAAAACGTGTGCAGAGCTGAATAACAAATGTTACAACTGAATGACTGATCACAGATTAGTACTAACTTCTATATTGGGGACTAAACAGTTTATGAACCTTTAAATTGGAAGCAGATGTGAGAATTTCTTTGTGCTATGAGTCAAATATTTTTAAAAGCTTATTAAGTCTGTAGTAAAAAATGCATCCAGACACAATACGCACCCAGTTTATAGTTAGTTTCCTCATAATTTGATATGTTTCTGTTCTGCGCATTCAGCAGACCCATCCCAACCCAAAATGTCCTGCTACGTCCAAAAGCTAGAGGTACCACTGCTTAAAAAACATCTCCCTGGCTGCTCTGCATCCTGTCTTTGATAAAAGCAGGCCACTCCTCCGGTTACCATTGTGCCTCAGTTCTCTCCGTCTCTGCTCCATGTAAACATCTCTATCATTGATGTCTCTCCCTCTTCCCTCTTTAACTATGAAAATTATTCAGAAACCAGTACATGAGCAAAAGCCAACCAATGACACAATCAATGTTGAATTACTGTAAAATAGAAGCTTTAATAGATATAGATATTAAACCTGATTGAGGTACCCGTTAGGGATGGCCGGTGTCCATTGCCAAAGGCCGACAGTCATGGCCGTTACTTATTCCCAAAACTAAGTTAAAACGAATCGAAAGGAAAAGAAAATGTTTATTTTATTGGATTAATAACACAGTAATCCTGCTTGATGCTAAAATTGCAGGTGCATGACACATTGCGTGACATTACCAGTTCTCTACTTTTCTCTAAATGTCTAATTCTATTGGTATAAAAGGTTTAAATGTCTGCATATCTACAAAACAAATCCGTACTCTGAGGTATCCCGGTAATGGCTACGTAATACCATTAGGACTGCCAAAAATACCCAACACATTAAATGAATGTAACATAACTTGCTAAACAAATGAGAAGTCTGACAAGGTTACTCTCCCTTACTCATCCACAGCAAAGAATGATAGTGTACACACCTGCTCTACAGTGATGTGTTTAGCCATGTCGTCCAGTGAGGAAGCTTCTTTGACGATGTCAACTTGCTCTACTTCGTCGTCGTACTCCTCCTCCTCCTCTTCTTCCTCCTCCTCCTCATACTCTTCCTCCTCTTTCACCTCCTCACTCTGCTCCTGCTCGTGAGCCTCCTGAGGAAGGGGGGCCTCCTGGTGCAGGCAGGTTTTAGCGCTCTCCTGCAGTGATAATGAAGTGCAGTTATAAATTGCATAACAATATAGAGCAATGGAGACAGTAATACAATTTGTCGGTCTCTATTTCGGATTGAAGCCATTAAAAGCTACGTATGTTAGTGAAAGCTGTTAAATGAAGGGACGGTTGTTGTTTTTAAGGAAGTGATACATTTTATTTATTGGCAATAGCAACAATGGTTTAAAACATATAGAGGAACTAAGTAGTTAGCATGAGCTGTAATAACCATCATGGCTCAAAAGCCTGAAGCAATGCTAACCTAATAAACAGAAGAAAACAAATATGATTTAGGATACGGGTCCTGACACACTTTAACTGGCAAGTCATTTCAGGAAAAACAAACAAACTAAACAAACAAACTAGGAACTCACAGTCAACGTAAATAACAGACTTTACAACATTATTGCATTTCTTTCTAAATTCTGATATGTACCTGGTTCTCCTCATGTAGGGCCTCCTGTTGCAGCTGTTGTTGCTCCACATCTGCCCCACTGGTCAGAGTCTCCACTGGGAGAGCTTTGTGACACAGAGCAGAGTCTTTTTCCTTCTTCCTCTCCTCTTCTTCCTCTCCCTCATCTTCCATCTCCAAAGCCTCGGCTGCCTCCTCCACCTCCCTCTCTTCTTCGTCCCCTTTTGCCTCCTTTTCCTGTGTGAGACCTAAATCTCCTCCCTGCTGCTCTGCGGGTTTGGACTGATCCATTTCTCCAGCTGTAGAGGGGTGTCCTCCATTTCCTCTGACTGAAGTGGTGTATTCTACCCCTCCTTCTGCCACTCCTCCCTCTCTGTTGCTGCCGTGCTTGTCAGTCAGCTGATCTCCAAGGAAACAGACCCTGCCCTCTACTTCCCTGAGTGGGTCTGACCGTCTGTCCTTTTCTGAAATCTCAGGGGAATAAAGCCCATCAGTCAAATCAATGGAAGGGATCACTGGATGGCTGCTCTGATAACGCGAGGGGTCTTGAGCTCTCTGCTCCATCCCTTCGTCAACCTGATGGACTGGATGAAAAAGAGACACAGAGAGTAGAAAAGGAGAGTGTGTTGTTTTTGAAGCCATTAGTCCATGTGGGCCTTCCTCTCCTAGTTGATGTCACTAGAATCATCAATGAATGATCTACATTGACAGTGATTTCATTGCTATATGCAGGGAGAACTACTCTCAAATACAAACCCAAGGGGCTCAACAGACCGACATAAAACCTTAAAAAACATCTTTTCAGCAGTTACACTTAAAAAGTGTACATTGCATTGGGAGCTGCTTGCATCTCATTTTCCATGTATTCATTACTTGAAACTTGTGTATGTATCAGTCTTAGATTTTTTTAAAGGTGCAAGATCCGAGATGACTGCCTGTCAACGGACTCAACATGGTGTCAGCGAGCCGGCGGCTCACAGCCAACGGTGCAAAATAATCTTTTCGCAAACTTTTAAAATACACATTAAACCACAGCAAGGTGTCCACAAATGCTACATGTGGCACACAAACAAACACAAAGCAGACAGTATGTCTAGAGTGGAACCCAGCAAAGTAAAGTCAAAGTAAAGTAAGTCTGGGCAACACTGAAGTGTCAAGTACACCCTTAAAGTCAAATTATATGTGATAATCAGAGTATACAGAAGTGTGTCAATGCTATTGTGTTGACAAAACATGTTTATTTTGTCTTTTAGCGAGACCCTTGAGTCAGTATGGAGAGCAGCACCACCAGTGAACAGGTACAAGTTTTCTTGATCCGATAACAAGTCCATCAGCCGTCCCAATGTTTAGAGCCATACGGAGGAGATTCCTCAATCATACATTAGTTCTGAATTCCGTATTGAGCTCATTTAAGGTCCACTTACTAACGGTTTGTGAAACGTTCAACTTAAATCAGGATATGCGGCCGAAGACTCTTTTCGGTTGGAAGCTAAGTAAAGCCAGTAAGTGGACTTCCTACTTTGACATTAATCCACCTACTCACTCACCTGAAGTACACAAAGGCAGTGCACCACCTTCTTCAAACGTAGGCCTCAAAAGGTCCAGAGATGCACACTGTACACACACACAAATAAATATATGTAGTACATGTACATACACTACAGTTTAGTAATTATTTAAAATTGTATCCAATTGGGTACACGCACACTAAACTAACAGGTGTACACCCTTTACACATAATAGAGATTTTACCAAGACATCAGTGAGTCACTTGAAATGCAAACACACATTCATTCTGCCTTCATCTTATATGTATGTACATTCACACCAAAATGATGAATGTCTTACCACAGCATCTCTGGCTCCTGGTCTATGAACAGAAGAGAGAGAGAGAGAGAGACGGAGTGAGATGGTGAACGTATTGAAGGTCTGTTCTTGGTTTGAAGAAGAGAGAGATGAGTGACCCTGCTCTACTCTTTTCAACCTAATATTAGCTCGAACACATTTCCCTGGCTACTACAACACGTATGTATGTGTGTGTGTGTGTGTGTGTGTGTGTGTGTGTGAGATTGTGCGTGCATGAGTTAAGAGAAGTGAAACCTCAGCAGCGTGATGGCTCAAATGTCTGAAAGTGCAGCAGCAGCAGCAGAGGGCCATATGTTTAAACTATCACTGTAGAGCTCACCACACACAAAGATATACATGCTTATAGACAGTCAGGCAAACAAACACACACACACACACACTGTCTGGGAACATACAAATTAAGCAGGTGTGTATGGTTTGAGAAAGTGTGTTGTCTATCTGACACTTCTTATTAAATATTGAAAAATGTCAAGGTGGGCTTCCCTCGACTAATTTGTTACACTTGCATGAGCACACTCCACAACAGACACACGTCACATTGATATTGATATTGATACACTTATACTCTGACTCCCAATATGTTGGACTGGTTTGTGGTTTTTAAAATATGGCCCCCAACCTTTTAGTAATCGAACAAGATGAAGTACATATTGCTATCCTCTTGTGGTTTTTGTTTTATCTTACCAGCACCAAAAAAGTTGTTTTACTGCATCATTTAGTTTGGTTATTTTTGTCCTTCTTTCTTGGCACCTTCACCGCGGTCACGGTCTGACTTTTCAAGTTAGTTTGGAGTCAGATAATGAAATCACATCAAATTTGACACGGTCATATGAATGTGTTCAAATTTAGTTTACTTGTCTAGCGCTCTGCCCAGTTCAGCGTCCTCTACCTGGCAACCCCCGTGAGCTTTGAATCTGGGGAGAAGGGCGAAGAGAGACAACTCTCTCCAATATTTTTGAATTTGGCCTGCAGTATCCATTTAAAACAGTGGCCATCAGTGTTACATATTCTTCCTTCAGATATGAGGAAACTATGAAAATTGTAATGTAAATTGAGCTTATGTTCCCATTAATTTTCCCCAAACATGTACACTAAAATAACTTGTTAATTTAATATATGAGAGTAGTCAAATGAAGACATGTTCAGTCTGTAACAATGTAATTTGTGCTGACTTTCCCACTACAGTTATGTACAGTAGAACTACTTATGTCATAGTCAGGACAGTTTGAACAGAAATTCATTGCTCCCAACACATTTTTATCACATTAGGACTTCTTTACTAATAGTTTTATTTGGTATATAAAATGTGAGAAAATATTGCTGAAATACGAGTTTTCCTACAACCTTTTTGGATCCAGCTTCAGCTCCTACAGACAAAATCTAGCCAGCAGCTGGCCGGGTTTTCCGAATGGATGGTCCACTTGATCGCAGTGTTTTACGGTGCCGTTGCGCTGTGCTGCTCTGTCTCGTCTGTCTGTCTGTGCGCCGTCAGAGACCTCTTATAAATTTTCACCGCATGACAAAATGAACGTGTGCCGGGAGAGTGTGTGAAAAGTGTCAATAGAATGAGTCTCACGGACAATGCGTAACAGTTGTGTGCACCGATGCATGTAGAGCTGAGAATTATATGCACACCTCAAATTTTCCGTGCACTACTGTGCAAATACACATGGTATTGTGAGCCATTAAAGAGCACACACACACACACACACACACACACACACACACACACACACA